CCTGAGAAGGGGCCTCCGACCTTGAGGTCAGGGGCACAGGGTGTGGAGCGAGAGGTGCCCACAGGAGCTGTGGCTAGGGGCTCCTTGTCCCCCAGCCCCCACCCCACATGACATGCTGTGTTTTTCCAGTTGCCGGTGGTGACGTGGCCGCAGTCCCAGCTGGGCGAAGAGCAGCCTGTGATTTCACCCTGGGCTGGTTCATTACCTGACGTCTCCATGGCAACCAGCCCATGACCTCACGGGGCCAAAGTCCTCAGGGGGAGAGGGCGGCTTTGGCAGAGGCCCCTGCCCCGTGCTGAGGAGGGGGCAGGAAGGCTAGGGCGGGGCTGGGAGCCAGGAGCCCACCGAGCCCACCACCGCCTCCTTGACGAATGACCTTGTTCGAGTCACATCTCCTCCAGGCCTTTGTGGTCACCTCCCAGCTCCTGTCTGCGCGTCTCCCCTCCTTCCCCAGGCCTGTGGTTGCAGAGTTTTAAAACAGCTTCAGACGATGGCCAGGGGTCCTAGAAATGTTCCGGTGCCTCTCAAAGTTCCCAGGTGCAGCCTGTAGCCTGCGCCACCTTGAACTGCACCTTGGCAGCCCCAGCTGGTGCTCCTGGACCCTTAAGAGTGGTGGCTTTCTAAGTTTTTTGACCGGAACCCATAGGAATAAATATATTTTGCCTCATGACCCCATACGCAAGCGCAGGAAGTCGTTCCGGTCTCGGGCCCTGCCCCAGCCCGAGCCCCGCGGCAGCCACCCCTCCTGCTCCGGTGCAGCCGTCCAGCTGGGGGTGGGTGAGATGCTGGCCTTTCCTTTGCAGGACCCCAGAGTTCTGCAAGGCTGGGGGCCTCTCACTTCCTTAGGTGGCCAGAGTCAGAAGGGTGGCTGAGGCGGGGGTAGCAGCGCCGGCTCCGCCCCCGGACCAGGGCCTCTGTGCCCCCGACCCTGACCCCAACGATGGCTTTCTTCAAAACGTGGGCCTTCGTGCCTCTTTGTTATCACTTTGAGATCCTAGTAGACAGTTCCCGAAGAACAAGCACAGCCCCCTCCACTGTCTGTTTTACAGGTGCGGAAAACGCAGGCTCCGCGAGGCAACGTCACTTGCTCCAGGTCCCACGGGTAGTGAAGGGCAGAGCTGGGATCTGAACTGGAAGCAGTGGCACCAGAGCCTGACCCATCTCTCTCTGGAGCAGGCCCTGAAACGAGGACCTGGGTACAACTGACATAGGAAGGAAGGGAGACAGCAGGACAGAGGACCCAGAGCTAGGAAAGGGTGTCTGTCGTCTTGCAGGGGGCGACCTCAGGCTGAGCCCACAGGGGCCTCTGGAATGAAAGTTAAGCTCAGAGCGTTCTGACCCCAAATAAAGGGGCCAGGGTCCTGCACCTCCAGTCATTGGCTAAGGGCCACTCGCGCTAAGGGTGGGGCCAGCACAAACTCTCAGGTAGTTTCAGCTCCAGGTGCCTGAGGGCAGCCCACCTGGAAAGAGCCACAGGTGCTGCCCATTAGAAGCAAAGCACAAGGCGAGGGGGCTGTGGGTGCACAAAACCAGGAAAGAGATCCAAAGGGATGAGGGGGGTTGGGTGGAGCCCCCACACTGTCCTGTCGGCCCACTTCTTCCCCTCCCTGTTAACACCCCCACAAGCCTCAGAGTCTCCGGGTCAGCCCCACGCCTCCTGCCTCCAGCCCTCAGACCCACGCTGGCCGCAGCTCCCTCCAGGGAGCCCTGTCCACTTCGGTGCCGTCCGAGTGTTGGGAGCCAGCGCCTGGGACAGGTCAGGCAGGAAGCTGGGACGAGTGTCCCACAGGGGGCTCCCCTCCCTGCCTTGGCCCCTCGAGACTCGGCGGCTTTGTGCAAGCTGTGCCTGGAGCACCTTCCTCCCAGAGTACCTTTCTGCCAGCACCCGCTCCTGGCCAGCTCTCCATCCGCTCCCCTGGGCCGCCCCAAGCCCACCAGACTCACGGAACCTCTTCTGTGCTTTGGAAGAGAGTGAGTCTCGGGGTCAGACCGCCAGGGCTCAGGTCCTGATTGCCAGGTACTGCCTGTGTGCTGTGTGCTGTGGTCAGGAATGAATGGATGGCTGCACAGGCCAATGAATGAAGGAGGGACGATCCCGCCAGGGGTTCACATATCTGGGCTCTCAGGCCTCAGCTCTGAGGAGCCCTCTCCAGCTCCCCCTACCGCCGGCCACAGGGTTCCTCTTCTCTCTCCACGGTTATTATCGCCATCTTGTTGGTCTTATGCATTTGTGAGATTTGGGTTCATAGTCTGTCCCCCCCACACTCGAATGTGAGCTCCATGGGGGCAGAATCCATCTCTGTCTTGCTTGCCCCGGTGCCCCCCGCCCACACTGTGCCCTGAACAGTGTCCGGCGCATGGCAGGCGCCCAGCGAATGCTCTTGAATGGCTCCGAGAGTAAATGGATGCATTAATCAAATGGATAAGGGTGTTCCCAGTTACCCCGGGGGGCAGAGGCGTCCTCGGCGCAGCTGGAGAACTCGGTCCAGCAGTCCCAGTTGTTCGGTCTGGTCTGTTCCTTCTCCTGGCAGCCGGGGGGAACCTGCTGTGTGGAAGGCCCTGAGGATACGTTGACGACAGGGCTGATCCCTGCGACTCGCACATAAACGCTTTTACCAGGCAGCCTGTGCTACATGTGGTAATGAAGGCAGACAACTCTTCACAGATGTCCAAAAAGCACCTGCTAGTGCCGGGCAGGGTTCTAGGCTCCAGGGACGGAGCAGTGAGCAGGGCTGGCTGGTGTCTGCTCTCCTGTGCTCCCATTCACGGTGGGGAGAGCAACTGGACACGCAAATAAGCAAAACAATACCAGACAGTGACGACTGTGACAGGGAGTGACTGGTGGCCGGCGTGGGCTCGGGGAGGGCCACATCGAATCGGGTGGTCAGGGAAGGCCTCTCTGAGGAGGTGAGTTGGGGCTCAAATGACGAGGTTCAGGAAGATCTGGGGAAAGAGTGATCCAGGCAGAGGGGACAGCAAGGACAAAGAGCACGCTTGGCCACCAGAGGAGCAGCAAGGAGGCCAGAGTGGCTGGAACGTACGGCCCCTGTGCTGCTGGGTGGAGAGGGGGCTGCGGGGGCCGGGAGAGGGGGTTCAAGAAGCCCGCTCCTCCTGGTGAGAGGGCGGCGGCTCCCGTAAGAGGAGCCGCGGTGGGTGTAGATGGGGACAAATGTCCATGAGGCTGAAGAGCCAGAGGGCTGGCCGGTGGATTAGATGGGTGTTTGGGGTTGGGATGGGGGCAGGCAGGGCTCCATGGCACCCCCTGGAGTTTTAGTTGGTACAGCTGGGTGGACGGTTGCCTCATTTTCTAAAACGGTGGAAGTAGAGGAAAACGGACCCGGTTTGCAACTTCCATTTTGCCGAGGTTTGCTTGGGCCCCCAAGTAGGGAGCTGGAAGTTCAGTTGTCGGGGCTGGAAGTGTCCATGTGGGCCCGGCTGCCCGCCATGGCCGGCCTGGGAGACAGACAAGGTGAGCCTGGCCCAGGATGGAGCCACGGGGCAGGCGCCAGGGCTGAGCGGGGAGGGAGGATGAGAGGAGCAGCCAGCAAGGTGGAGGGGGCCGAGAGCGGGGTCCGGGGTGGGGGTGGCTCGAGCGGGAGGGATGGGCTGTGTCCACAGCCCCCCAGACAGGCCCCCAGACAGGCCGGTGAGGGCGAGGCCACGGGGAGGCCCTGGCAGCTTGCAAAGGGCTGCCTTGTGAAAGGTGGCTTGGAACGGTGGAGGGGGAAATGGGAGACGAGGAAATAGGGGTCAGACACAGCTCTTTCTAAGAGGGATGGACAAGGCACTGGAGGGACGCGGGAGCGGAAGAAAGTTTTTATTTTTATTCTTTTAATATTTATTTATTTTTTGAGAGGGGGGAAGGGAGAGAGAGGGAGAGAACCATCGATGTGTGAGAGATACTTCGATTGATTGCCTTGTGCACTCCCCCCCACTGGGGGCCTGGCCCACAACCCCGGCCTGTGCCCTAACTGGGAATCGAACCGGTGACCCTTTGCTTCACAGTCCAGCACTCAATCCACTGAGCCACACCAGCCAGGGCAGAAGAAGGTTTTTAAAGGATGGAAGGGGCTTGGGCTGCTAAGGTGCAGGGGCGGGTAGCGGGGAAGGGGAGCCGACCCAGCAGTGAGGGGACTCCTGAGGCAGGGGAGAGGAGCATGAATGTCAGAGAGTCCTGGAGCGGAAGAGGTGTCACAGCAGGAGCCACGCTGACAGGCGGTCTGGGGAGGGGAGAACACAGACGGCAGAGGAGAGAGAACAGAGCCCCTGGGGGGAGGGCAGGGACAGGTCTTCATTTGTCACAGGAGGGAAAGCAGATGGTGTCGGCAAAAATGCAGGCAGGGTTTTGAGGTGAAAAGATTGGGGCGATACCTTTCGAGGGCTTCTGGATCCCAGCCAGGAATGGGGAGAAGCCGGCAGCAGGGGGCGGGGAGGCGGGGCGCCGGTGTCGGAGGTCTGGGAAGGAAAGACGGGGAAGGTGGTCAGCGTGGCTGGCAGGAAGCAGACTTAGCAGGAAGGTGGGGGGTGGGGGAAGGCCCTGGGCAGCGCCCTGTAAGCCGCTAGAGCAGCCCAGGGCAGGCGGAGGGGCGGGGCAGAGGGCTAAGAGGGGAAGGGCACCTTTAAAGGAGAGCTCATAGGCTATGCCAGGGAGTCCTAGCGGGGCCAGGAGAGACACGAGGACGCGAGGAGCTAGTGGAGAGTAGGGTATGGGGGTTAGAGGTCTCGTGGGGTCAAAAGAATGCCGGAGTGCGGGCGCCAGAATTCGTGAAAGTGCAGCAACAAGCGGGAAGGCAAGTCGTTCCTATTGAGAGGACCAGGCTGGGCTCCTGACCTGCTACGGCTTTGAGTCGTTTTCTACAAAATGACAGCAGCCAGGAACAAAGCACTGCCCCTCTCTCTCTACACTGCCCTTCTCTCTGCGTGGATGAGGTTCTCGAGCTTCACGAGCAGGAGAGCGCTGTGCTCTTCTGAGTGCCTCCTGCCTGTCTCGTTGTTTCCAGATCTGTTCACAAGTGTCCATAAGGATTGCCCCATGCCCCAGGGCACAGAGCCCCTGAGCCCAGACCTGCCCTCCAGCCTCCCACCCACCGTTGTTCCAGACTATGTCTCCGGCAAGGTAAAGTCATCCTGCTTCGTCCCCACCTTCATCCTGCCTGCACCTCGGTTCGTGGGCTTCCCCACAGCCCCCCACCGGGAGCCTCCTCCCTCCCTGCCAGACCTGGCTGCTTCATGTGTGATCGGGGCCCTAAGGTTTGGTATTCCGCGGAGGAAGGCCTGACTCAGGCGGGCTTTCAGGGACTGGACCAGGCTTGTTAGAAAAGAGAGCCGCACCCTGCAGGGCTTCCCGCCCCAATTAACTCAGCCTTGCAAAGAACACATTGTGTTACCAGCCCACGACACCTCGGCAGCCTGCACAGCCTGCTGGAGAGTAGAAGGAATAGGATTCTTAGACCTAGCTCGGGACCTCAAATCCTGGTGTGTAATTTCCGCCCTTGCTCTAGAGCAGGGGTGTCCAACCTTTAGGCGTCTCTGGGCCACACCTGAAGAAGAAGAGTTGTCTTGGGTCACACATTAAATACATTGCAGCACGTAATCACAAAAAAAGAAATCTCATAATGTTTTAAGTAAATTTACGATTTGTGTTGGGCCACATTCACAGCCATCCTGGGCCGCATGTTAGACACCCGTGGCCTAGAGGTGGTGACTTGAACCTACCAATGGATATAATTACCATTCTATTTTATTTTATTTTATTTTATTTTTATTTTAATCTTGAGCACATACCACATGCTAAGCATTGCGCTGGGCACTTTGGCCACATTATCTCATTTATGCTTCACCGCAGCTAAGAGGTAAATGGCACCATCCCATTTTACAGAGGAAGAAACTGATGTTCTGAGATGTTATGTCACTAGTCCAAGGACACCCAACAGAAGTGGCAAAGTCAAAGCTCAGACCCAGGGCCAGTCTACCCCCTGCAGCCCCGGCCTCTCCTGGCAGAGTCACCATTGGCCTCCCATCGTGCGTGCGCACACGCCCTCCGCTGCATGCCAGGGGACAGCAGGGCACGACCCATGAGTAGGCAGACCCCAACCCCAGGGAGCACCAGGTGACCCACACCTCCACCCAGGTCCCTCGGGCTCCCAGCGTCCGCTGACAACGTGCCAGCTCTGCTGATCTCTTTCTCCTTTTACAGGACAAACAGATGGATTTCTGTTGGGATCCTTGGCAGGTCAGTGGGCCTGCCCATCCCCCGGTCTAGCCATTGCCCCTCTTTCCCGGGCCCAGCGTGGGCACATAGTCCTGCCAGCCGTGGGTGCAGGGGGGGCGGTCCTGGGGAGTTGAATCAGTTGCGCTGGCCCCGCCCACTGCCCAGCGGCCCTGGGGCGGGTGGCTAATGGGGATGGTGTGGTGGGGGGGCCTTCCTCAGGCACGTCTGCCCCACCTGCTCACCCCACCCCCTCCTGCAGAGGTGCTTCCAGACCACCAACGGCTACCTATCTGGCTCCAGGTCCTGCTCCAGCAACTACAATGTGGCAGCCCTGGCCACCTCGTCCCTTGTGGGTAGGTGTCAGCTGCTCTCTCCTGCCCCTGGAATTTGCACGGCTCACCCCGGAGGGCAGCTGTGCGTGGTCCGTGGAGGTGGGGCAAAGCTGAATCGCAGCTGGAAGGATGGTGGCCCCACAGGCTCCAAGAGCTGGGTTCTGCAGGGAGCACCCCCCCCCCGAGTTAGATTGATGGGTCCCCATCCCCCTGGTGTGGTCTCCCCACCTCTCTGCAGTGGGTGAAGTCTGCCTGAGATGGGTCCACAGAGGGACTTTCTCAAGAGCTGCCTGCAGGACTGAGGGCGGCTGGGCAGGGCAGGGGAGGAGCTGGACAGTATCTCGGGGGCAGGAGGCATCTTCCTGAGCCTGAGGCGTCTTCCTGAGCCCAAGCAACAGGTGCTCAGGAGCACAGGCTGCCCCCCAGAGTTTATGGTGCTTGGGCGAGTCGGGCAACATGTATTATTCCACCAGCTGCTGGCTGCCCCTTGTGTCAGGACAGTCACTCGACTGCTCTCCATGTCCCCAGGGGTGGTACAGAGCATCAAGGACCACATCACGAAGCCCACGGCCATGGCGCGTGGCCGCGTGGCCCACCTCATCGAGTGGAAGGGCTGGAGCGCGCAGCGGTCGGGCTGGGCACCATCCCCAGCCGAGCAGGAGCACTACTGCTGCCTCCCGGACGAGCTGCGGGAGGCCCGCTTCGCCGCAGGTCCGTGGGGGGCCGGGGGCCTGGGCACAGGCGCTAGCCAGAACGCTGGTCCTTAGGGGACACAGCATCACCCCGGGGGCGTTGTCGGGGTGGGAAAAACAATGGCACAGGGGGGCCTGGATGCCAGGCCATCTGCAGCACCCCCACCCTCTGCCCTGCCCTCTCTGAGCTGGGTCCCACTGTCCCCCACAGGGGTCGCTGAGCAGTTTGCCATCACGGAGGCCACACTGAGCGCCTGGTCCTCGCTGGACAACGAGGAGCTGCGCCCTGAGAATGACCCCCAGGACGCCGTCCAGCTGCAGGGTAACCCCCAGGCGGGAGCCAGGGCGGGTGGGTGGCGCAGAGCTGGCGCTGGATGCCACCCTGTCACCAAACGCACTGGGAACTCAGACAAGCCCCTCCTTCCCACAGCCTCAGTTTCTTCATCTGAAACCTGGGGCTGGTGATCCTGCTCAGGGAGCGTGCCGTGAGCATGGAGGAGATTATAGCAATGATAACAATAGATAATATGGGTTAAGGGCTCGGTGTGCCGGAGCCCAGGGCCACTGCTGAGGGCGTCAGTGAGCCTGGGTCCCGGGGGAAGCCTGCGTACCTGTTATCTCATTCAATCCCCCCTCACGGTGCGGGGAGGGGAGGCTCGGGAAGAACACTGATTGTCCCGATTCTCAGGGCGCCAGATTCAGTACAGAGCCTGCTCTTAACCACTCCACACACTCCCATCACTATTCCTATGACACCTAGGAAGAAACTGGGGCTCAGAGAGGTTCAGTGACTTGCCTAAGGTCACCCAGCCTGGCAGCGGCAAAGCAGAATTTGGAGGCTGGCCTTCTGCCTCTGGCCCACACTCACGCATCAGGAGAGGGCGGGGAGCGGCCCCCGACTCCATCTCTTACCCCCACCTCCCTCTGGTTTTCCAGACCTGGACAGCATCTACCTTCAGGACAGTCTTCTGAGCGGCCCCTCGCAGGATGACAGTCTTCTGGCCTTCTCCCCCTGTCTCTCCCCTGACGGCTGGCCATCCCCCGAGGAACCCCCCATCACGGTGGCTGCCCCCCGGCCCCCTAGCCCCGAACAGCAGCACCGGCGGCGCCTGCCCGGGGGCCTGGGGCCCGAGGGCGGGGCCGGCCTGCAGGGCTCCCCGCCCTCAGTGGACAGTGGCTCCCTCTCGGAGGAGGACGAGGTGTTCTATAACTGAGGCCTGCTCACCCCGGGACCTCGCCTGGTGGGCAGCTTGGGCCTAGCAGGACGTCGTCGGGTCAGGCTGGGCCTCTCTTCACCCCTCCGGGCAGGCACGGACAGGGAGGCAGGGACGGGAGGCCAGCATTCCTCGTGGACCGCTCTGTGCCTCGGACCTGCCCCCAGCAGGGGGAGACATAATCCCCCTTCTCCCTCCTTGGCTCATGCGGGCACCTTCCCCCGCGGGGTCTCTGCCATGGGCGAGCTCAAGGACTCGGCAGACACTAGGGCAGGCCACCCAGCGGAGCCAACAGCCAGGCCCCCGGGCAGACAACTTGGAAAGGGCCTGGGAGACCCACTTGGAGCGGGGCCTGGGGACCCTGCCTTGATCCCAGAGCTCAGTCCCTCCCCTCCCTCTGTTGCTTCTGGCCCCCCTCCCATCAGAGGGCGGGTAGCCTCTTCCGGTAGCTAAGCATCTGCTCCTAGGCTGTCACCACAAGGACACCTGTCCCATGGACTGTCCGTCTGTCCCTCACTCTCTGAACCCGGGTGCCGCTGCTCCCCCACTTGCACCCTCCGTCCATCTCCCTGAAAGTTCTCTGAAGACATTAAAGTGGTGGATTCACCCTGGATGTGAACTTGGCCTGGTCTCTGCTGGGGGTGCCGTGTCCTCGGGGCTCCTGGGCCAAGAGGGACTCAGGGGAGGGCCCCTCCCCCCAACACACATATAGCGGGTCTGCGTGCTGTCACCCAGCTGGGAGAGTGTGCGCAGAAGGTGGCTGAGGTTCTGCGGCGCCCCCACCCCGCCTGGAGCCACATGTGGGGACCCTGCCTTATCAGCCCTGGCTTAACCAGGGCAGAGGCTGGGGCTAGGCTGACAGTAACGGGGCCACTGGGTCCTGCTCATTCATAAGATGAGTATCATAAGACCTGGTGGGGACTCAAAGTCCCCCCTATCTCCCTGCCAGGGCGGGGGGCATGAGAGAGGGCGGGAGACCGGGAACCCAGGTGAGCTGTGCCCACGTGACCCAGGAGCTTGCTCAGAGCCAGCACAGGTGAGCAGCTGACGTGCCACATCAGCGCCCTTGGAGCTGAGACGAGAGACAAACTGCGGCCCTGGGGAGCGGCTTTATTTTTCTCAGGAGCCTGTGGTCAGGGGCCAATCTTCAGGGGGATGTGTGCCTGCCCTTGGTGACAGCGGACACCAATCTCTCCACTTGTGAATTTGATCATCATGCGTGAAGCACCCACTGTGCACTGGTCTTCTGCTGTCTCACGTTCTGAGCTCTGTCTACGGTGGGATTTGTCCTTCAAGGCCTGTGATACTTGTCCCAACCAAGATGCGACATGGTGAATACGGGGCCCTGTTCGGTGCTTGGCGAGAGCCGCCTGCCTCACTGAGGAGTCGAGCTGGGCTGGGGGTGGGGGGTAGGGGTTGGGGTTGTGATGGGGGAGGCGAGGCAGGCTCTCTGCCCAATCTCCTGCACCAGGGCAGCTGAGGTGCCATTTTTGTCTTGCCAGGCTGGCTCACTTTGGGGCAGGTGGATTTGTCAGGTTAGAAATTGCTTTCTTCAGCTAAAAGAGAGAGAAAGGGGGGTTCTTGGAGGAAGGGTATAGAGAAGGTTGAGAATGGGGGCTCCCACATTGCCTCACTCACCTAAGGGTTGATACTGGGGTAAGTGTTAGAGCCAGTGCCTCCCCATGGCACCTATGGGATCACTGAGGCCCAGAGACGGGCAGGGCTGGCCACTGGCCACAAGATAAGGTAGGGGTAGCGAGGCCCAGTGAGCACTTTGGGCCAGGAAGTAGAGCTCATCAGAATCCCAGGAGGCCCTTCCAAACTTGGATGGGAGCATATCGGTGCCCTCCACCTCCCCCACCTGCTCGGGCGTGGCCCCTCCACTTCGCTCTGCCCGCGAGACCCCGGTACCTCCACCCAGGACACAGTGCCCACAGCTCTGCCCCGGGACGTCACGAAGAGGAACTGAAGGTTCAGCAGCTCGAAGAGGTTGTGTGCCTGGAGGAGGGGTTGTTAGGGAACGCTGGAGGACAGGTAGCACCCACACCACCCATCTGGCTTCAACTGATCCCTAACCTGAAGGCTTTGAGCAGAGGTGAGGGAGCGCTACCCACGCCCGCCCGACTGTCCCCCAGCCAGGAAGGGGTAGGTGGACGGCGGGCAATGGTGGGTGATGGCAGGTGCGCAAGACCTGGACCTGGGCCTGCAATGTCCAGCATGACCACGAGAGGTCACCAGAGTCCACACAACGAACCAGTGGGGGAACCCTATTACCAGCGTCATCCAGAGCCACGGAGGGGTTGGGACCACCCCCAGATCCCCAATCGGCTTCCACCCTTCCCTGACCCCATGTTCCAGGCTCTGTGTTTGTGTGGGGGAGAGGAGGCAGGCATCAGTATTCAAAGTGATTAATAATTTTCCCAAGATCACACGGGGAATGTGAGGGATCTGAAATTGAAACCTATGTGCATCCTCACACAAAGACATCGTTCTAACCACTGCCTCTGCCCAGAAGCTTCTATTTTGCAAGCCCTCTCCCTCCCCTAGTCTGTGCATCATCCCAGCCACTCTGGGAGTGGGGTTTGGAGATGGCAGGAGCTGCTCTGCCCGTTCTGCTGAGAAGCGGAAGCGGGCCCAGGAGGAAAAGAGGGCCGCGCAGCATGTAGGGTGCTGGAGCCAAAGTTCCCTCTCAGGCTCTCCCCCTCGACCATGCAGCCCTTGCCTGCCCCAGGTCCGCGTTTCACCCATTACCTGGTGCAGGGAGGTCTCCGGCGACAGCTGCAAGGTCACTGGCTCCACGGGGCAGCCCGTGGCCAAGACGTCCTGGAGACACTGCTGGGGACAGGGGAAGGGTTAGGGAGGCCTGGGCCAGCCTCCTCCTCTGCCCGCCTGCCCCTCTCAAACCTCCACTCCCACACGCCCTGCTGCCTCCCCATTCCCCTGACACCCCACACAGGTACCCACTTGGTGTCCTGGAGCCCAGGAAAGTGGCTCAGCGTGGAGAGCCTGCATCAAGGTGGCCCTTCGCACGGTGCCCACCAGGATCTGAGACTCTAGACAAGCAGACAGGGGGAGGGAGAGAGCTGCATTTCCTGGGCACCTAGGATGTGCCAGTAACGGTGCCCGGCATTCTTATGTCCCTCAGGAAGCTACAGTGTGCTGCTTATGGGCAGGGACTAATAGTGCCCATTTTATAGATGAGGAAACTGAGGCTCAGAGGTACAGAGGGGTTAATGGTCACTCAGTGTCTGACATGGAGGCATGGTGGCCAAAGGCTGCCAGGGGCTAGGCGGGGCCTGCTCACCCTGAGGTTCCCTGTGTTGCAGGTCTTGCGGCAGGAGCAGGTTTGGGACACGAGAGCCTCAGGCCTGGGCTTTGTCCCTCGCTCCCCACCGGAAGAGGCACATCTGGCTCAGCACAGTGCAGGCACGACCCCGGGACCCCACCATATTCTGAGGTCCTACTGGGTGCCATGGGTTTGGCAAGTCTTCCTCCCAAGCTTACAGGCCCTCGGTTTTGAGGCAACAGCCTGCTATTTTTTTTTTTTTTGTCTTATCCAGTAAAATAAAACCTTTACAACTAGACCTATATGTGCTTCCCCTTAAAAAATGAACAATTTAAAGTTCTTTCTTGAATGAGCAGCAGGGTCCCCCAGCCCAGGCCTGCGGGCTGAAAGTTTTTTGCTTCCTGTGGCTCTAAGGGTAGAGAGGACTTTGTCCTAGAGGCCACTTGGGTCTTTGTTCCAGGAGACGGAGCCTCTCGGACGGGTCCTCCTTTTGCAAGTACGCCCACGTGGGGTATTAGGCGTGTGCCAGGGGATGATGTTAAGGGCAACCTGGATCGGGAGGGGAGAAGGGCTTGGAATTTGGGGTGAGAACCTCTGACAACCCCCTACTGTTTTGATCCCTATTTTCCAGATGAGAAAACCGCAGTTCATAGAGTGGTGTGTCCGGGGTTCTGCGGCTCGTGAGTGGCTTTATGCCTCTTAGGGTGCTTATGGGGGTGGTGAGGACTCACAGGGTCGTGCAGGTTTCTCACTTCACCAATGGCAAGTGGGGACCCAAATCTAGCTGTGCTATGCTTGCCAGGTGTACACCATGTCTCACTGGCACAATGGGGACGTAGAGGTTGACAGTGTGCCCGAGCGACATGGCCGTCTCCCCTGGTTTATCCTTCTCACTCATACTGTACTAGTCCCCCTGGAGGAGACTGCTCTGGCTAGAGCCTTCCCCAAGATTCAGCTTCTGTGTCTTTTAACAAAGAGCTGCCATTCATTTTTCTATAGAAAGCTCTTCTTCTCACGGCACCGGGGATTGTGGAGGGGACTCGGCTGGGGAACGCTTGAAGGGGGGACCGAGAGAAAGGGCCCTTCTGGAAGACCCTGGTCAAGCCCTCGTCCTCCTCCCCGCCTCCCCAAGCGCGCCAGGCCGGGCTTCGAGAATCCCAAGACCTATCCACGGAGAGCCTTACAAGCATCTTCTCATCTCTCACACGTCAGCCACCCCAAAGCAGGATGGCAACAATCTCCATTTTAACAACGAGGAGGGAACAGGCTCAGAGGAGTGAAGTGATTTCCCGAAGCCACGCAGCTGCAGAGCTGGGATTCAGACCCAGATCAGCCTCGCGGGTCCAGTGCCCAGCTTGCTTTTTCCTGGGCCTGACCCTGCCAAGAGGAAGGTGGAGGGGGCTCCCCACTTGTCCACCCCCTGCCTTCCCGCTGAGTACCTGTGCTTTCCACCAGGGCGTACTCGGCCAAGTCCGTGGAGGTCACGACCTTGACCACCTCCTCCAGCGGGGTGTCCTTGGCCAGCGTGGTGATGCTGCCGTTCATGAAGTGCTCCACAATGACGCGATGGGAGCTGGGGGCAGAGGGGGCTCCTGTCAGTCCTGGGCTGCGGGGACGAGGTCGGGTCCCTGCCTCCTGAAGCCCTATCGCCCCCCACCCCCGACACCTCCAGAGCAGCTTTGGTCTGTTTTATTTAGAAGACTTCCCTGGAGAATGTCCCATGAAGAAAAGTTTCATGGCAAAAAGGGGAAAAAAGGTTTAAAGTTTGAAAAACACCCCCATATTACAGATGGGGAAACTGAGGTCCAGAGCAAGGTGACAGCTTGTGTGTGTTTGGAGGGGGGCCCAGGACTCGGGACTCTCGGATCCTCTTAGTCCTTCCTCTCAGGGGACAAGAGGCTGCTCTGGTCCTGCCTGGCCAAGTGAGGACCTCAAAGCCTATTTCCACTCTAGTGCCACCTCCTGCAGAGCAGCTGTGGGGAGCGGGCAGGGGGCCTCCCGGATTTGGTGCAGGCTCTCTGTGTGACCTGGAGCAAGACATGGCAGCTCTCTGAGCCCCAGTTTCCAACAAGTGGGGGATTATCTGTCCCGTTGTGAAGACAGACCGATGATCAGCAAGACACGGAAGCCCAGGAGGCCAAGGACTTGCCCAAGGTCACACAGGGAGGTGCAGAGAGTGGAGACAAGAGGGCAGCAGTGCGCCGGCCCCTCCAACACCGCCCGTGTCCAGGGGCAGCTGCCGTGAGCTTGGCGGGGCTCCAGCTCCAGCTCCAGCTGCAGCCAGCCCACCGGGACACCATCACCGCTGCCAGCCCGCCCGAGGCAGGCTCCACTCGCCTGATTTTTCGGCACCGGATCCAGGGAAGGTATGGCAGCTTCTTGACAATGATGGTGCCGTCGTAGAAGGAGGGCTGGCAGCTCTGGGCAATGGCGTTGGCCGCCAGCACCGCCATCAGCACCGGCAACGCGTGCACGATCTGGCCGGTCATCTCGAAGGCCAGCAGCGCCGTGGAGATGGTGTGGGTCACGGCCCCCGAGAAGGCCGCAGCCCCTGCGTGGGTGCAGAGCCAGGGCGGGGTGGCTCAAGCCAGGGGCCAGCCTCACACAGAGGGCGACGCTGGGGTGACTATGGCCAGGGGCTGGGGTGGGAATTGCCCAGGGGCCACACTCTGGCCGCTGTTGGAGGGCCCCGGTGCCTGGGCTTGGTGAGGGGAGAGCAGTAAGGGAGGGGATGGGGCATCAGGGACAGACAGGAGCTGGAGAGAGTGGTAGGGGCTCAGGGAAGGGTCGGGAGCTCGCTGGGGACTCTGTGCCCTACAGAACCAGGGGTTGGTTCTCCAGGTGCAGCCCACCCACTGGGGACCTGGCCGCTTACCTGCCAGGGCATACCCCCCGGGCACAATGGGGTTGGTGACCCCTCCAGCCACGATGCCCTCAGGGAAGGCGACAGAGAGGGCCTCCCCTATGAGGCGCCCAGTAGCAGCTCCTAGCCACAGAGCCAGGGTGAGCCGGGCTGGCCCGGCCCCCATAGCTCTTCCATCCTTGGGGACCAACCTCAGGACCATCCCGGGGGGAGGGGAGGGGGCAGGCCAGGGGCCACGGACCTGCCTCAGTCACGCTGAACCTCCAAGACCCTCAGGGCCCCAGACTCACCAAAGATGAATATGGGCATGAAGTAGCCAGCAGGAATGGGGATCGTGGTGGCCAGAATCAGCATCCAGAACTGTGGGTGGGGGAACCCAGAGGGGCAGAGGCTGGAGGCGACTGGGCAAGAGTGGGCACGGGAGGGACCAGGCAGGGCAGGGGGAGCAAGGGAGTGTCCCAGGGGCAACGAGGATGCCCGTGTACATGCGCATGGCCAGTGTCTGGTGCCAGAGCAGACAGGGGTCAGGCCAGGGAGGCTGGGCGGAAGGCCCAGTGCGGTGCTACCTGCCTTGGGGAGGCACCCCCATCCCCCCTGTGGCTGGTCTCGCTCTGGGCACACCTCTGGGGGCCCGGAGGTGCCCACCTTCATAACCAGGAAGAAGGCAAGGGTCCCAAAGATGGTGAACCGCGGGTGGTACCATTCGAACCACAGGTTCTGGGGGTCAGGCTCCGCAGGCCAGGGAGGGGACGAGTTCCGGGTCATCAGTGCCCACGAGTTGTTGTCAAACAGTGTGTCCAGGTGCTCCCTCATGGACAGCTGGAGCAGAGGGGGTGGGGACACTGCGCGAGAGAGCCGGATAGCCACCCCCGCCCCCTTGCTGGCTGGCCCGGCCTCCCGCCCTCTCTGCCATGTGCCATCAAGGTGGGGGAAACTTGGGAGCCACTCAGAACCTCCCGGATGCACAGGCCTCCCCTTCTAAGTGTCGTGGAGTTAAGAGAGGCGACAGGAACTAAGTGGGAAATAAAGCAAGGTTGCGCATCCCCCTGGCCCAGCTCGGGACCCCTCACCCGAGAAGCCATGAAGCGGCCCACGCCCGGAGGGTAGGTGATGGAGGCGAGCACCAGGGCGGCCAGGGCGGAGTACAGAGGCTTGCTGTGGGGGAGCGGGGGCAACAGGAAGCTCCAGGGCTGCCTTCCCCTGTGCCCCCACCCCATGGCCCCACCCCCCTGGGGGCTGAAGCCGAGGCAGGAGCAGGAGGACGAGGGGCAGAAGCAGGGTCCTGGGCCAGGCAACTCTCCAGGGCAGGAAAGGTACAGGGTCAGTCCACCGTGTCTCCGTGTAACAAGGGGCAGGGCTGGCAGGAGAGGTTGGGACAGAGCCCAGCCAGACCAGGTAGGGCCAGGGCACCGCAGATCAAGGACAGAGGAGGGCTGTCTTTGATGAGCAGGTGTTGGGGGAGGGAGGTAGACGAGGTTTGGAGAGGACAGGGAGTCCCCGAGGGGTGGGGTGTCCCCGTGAGAGGTCCCAGCCCCAGTCCAAAGCCCACCTGGTGGCCAGCAGTTTGGAGGTGAATGGATTGGTCCTGACAAAGCCCAGGAACATTCGCTGGCAGAAGAGGTAAGCGCAGCTCAGGATGCCGCAGATGGCCCTGGGGGAGGGCAGGTGAGTCCAGAGCCCCTCCCAGACCAGCGGCAGCGGTTCGGGCCTAGGGGAGGCCCCGTGCTGGGCTCCAGGGGCCCGAGGCACCCACTCACCCCAGCGCCACGAAGAAAAAGATCTCTGGCAGGTCGAAGGGGACGTCCACCCGGAAAGTGGTCTTAAAGAGGGAGGTGATGGTCTCTGGGCAGGGAGGGGAGCGACGGTCACACACTTCCCCCCCACCCCGCCCCTGCTCTGGCCCCTGCTCCCTGCCCGCTTCATCCCTTCTGCCCTCAGGGACCGCCCCCATGCCCTGCGCTTCTCGGAGGAGGTGGGGGAATGGAAGAGGAAGAAGAGGGGAGAAAAAACAGGAGGAAGACTGGGAAGGAGGGAGAGATGGAAGAGGAGGAGGGAGAAGGAGAGGAGGCTGGGGGTGCGGGGAGGGGTCAGGTGATCGTGGGGACTCACCCTGCTCACTGTTGAAGACGGCCAGGAGGCGGAACATGAAGGCCCCGCAGGTAGCAGCGAAGAAGCCCCTCCAGTAGTCCCAGACGGAGAAGTGGGAAGACATGACCTCGATGCTGAACAGGACGCCTGGGGGCGACGCTGAGCTCAGGCCGGTCCCCACACTGACCGCCCCCCCCCCCCGCCCCCGAACCTGCTCTCCGGCGGCCTGCAGACAGGGCCACCTTCTCTCTGGTCCTGAGTTGAGGTGAGGGGGACAGGCACCTGGTGCGCAGGGAACGTGCCCCTGTGCTCCCTTCTCAGCCACCGCAGTCCTTACAACAGCCCTGTGGGGTGGGGACTGGGGGGATCCTATTGCACAGGTGAGGAAATGGGGCTCAGGGAGGTGACCTCCCTGGTCCAGGGCCGCACAGAGAGCTGGACCTCACGCCCAAGGCTGTCTAAGGTGACCCTGGAGCGCCCCGACACCCCCCACTCACCCCCACCCTGTGCCAGCAAGGCCGCTGTAAGACCCTAGGCTAAGATTAGTGCCCATCCCTGAGACAGACCCTGCAGCTGGGCGGAGAAACGAGCTGGTCCCTCTGGCTCGTGCAGGGGATAGGAGGGGTGTGGGGGGGTCTCACCGCTGAAGGGCGCTGCGAAGACTGTGGCCACGCCCACCGCCGCTGCTGCCACCAGCATTTCGTTTTGCTTGCTCTTGTTCTGGGGGGACCCAAATCCTGGGCTCAGAGCCAGCTCCCTCCCTCTCATCCTTCCAAGGGGGGCCTCCCCGAGCCGCTTACCTCAGGCTCCCCGGTGGTCATGATGCGCACGCGGCCCAGGTAGACAGCCATCATCGCACTCAGGTGCACGAAGGGGCCCTGCCAGAGGAGGTGGGGGCACCGGGCTCACTGCGCGGCCTCTGAGGGGATCTGGGACCTTGCTCCTTCCTCTCAGGACCCAGGGTTGAGGGCAGAGGGAGCCTTATCGAGAGACGGCATGGCTGCCCCACCACTCCCACCTCCCACCTCCCCAGCCCCTTCGCCAAGTCCTGGGGACCCCCGCTTCCTCCTCTCCAGGACTGAGGCCCGTCTGACCCAGCTTCTGTCAGGTCAGGTCAGGTGCTGGGGGAAAGGCAGCAGTGGCGGGAGAGCCAGGCGGGGGTGGGGGGCGGTGCTCTCACTCCTGCTCGTACCACTTTGCCCAGGAAGATGGTGCTGCCGCTGGCCAGGGTGCAGGTCAGGCCCACCACCTTGGCCCCGAAGTTCTTGATGTCCAGGTAGTCCTCCAAGATCACACCAGACAAGATGGTCTTCAGCTCTGGGATTCCAGAACCTTGGCAGGAGTGAGACTCTTAACCCTTTACCCTGCAGGGGGTGTTTCCCACCACCCTCTTGTCAGGTCCTTTTAAACCCCAGGAATCGGGATTCATGAACTCATTTTTCAGATGAGGAAGTGGAGGGCCAGAAAGGGGACGTGAGTTGCCCATGTCCTTCCAGCTGGGCTTGGCAGATGCCTATGGCAGGACCAGGGGAACCCAGAGGAGACTCCCAGGCCGCCCTGGACACGCCCCTGGAGTTCCCGTCTGCAGGCCTGCGGCTGGAGGCAGAGCGGACAGTCCTGGGGGGCTATGCCCTCTGTCGGCCCCTCCCGGGAATATCTGTGGCGCCAGCCCACTGGCGCGTCTGCCACCAGCTCTCCCCATCACCACCCAGAGAGGCTCTCAGAAAGGGCCCGGAGCCATCGGCAACTCAGGAGTGAGGATCTGGCCTTCTCGCTGTGTGACTTTGGGCAAGTGACACGACTGATCTGAGCCCAGCTGTGAAACAGGGGTGCTGAGTCCTGCCTGCACCCATCGGAAAAGGCCTTGGCCTGCAGGAACCACAATGCGAGGCGCCCAGGCAATGCAAACAGTGCGGCAGCCCAGCTCACCTCCTGAGAAGGGCGTGATGCTCTGGGAGAAGCCCGAGGAGAAGGAGACCAAGGCGATGGGGTACACGGCCCAGGAGAGATACCGGAGCAGGTGGCCCTCTCCAATCTCCCGGTATAGCCACTTGTGTGCTGGGGACAGCCAGGAGTCAGGGACCACTCCCAGGCTCTGTCCCCCCAACCCCCATCCTGATAGGGAAGCCCAGGCTTGGGGTGGGAAGGCCTGGGCCATCCAGGGAGTGGCCGACCCCAAGAGGAGACAGGAACAGGACCCTGGATCCGTACCCAGTTTGCCACTTCCTAGTGGAGAGACCTTGGTCCCGCGACCCAACCTCAGAGCCTCTGATTCCCTGTCTGTTAAATGGGCTAGTGATGGTCTCTCCCTCACAGGGTCATGGTGAGAAATAAGAGTGTGACACGCCTCAGGCAACATGTGGGGCATAGCCGGTCCTCATGATGCCACCTGGGCAAGTCTCCCAGAGCAGGTGTGCTGCCCCCTTCTGGCACTGCGCCCCCTCTTTCGGGGAGACCCCAGGGTGGAGACAGCCTGTTGAGGCTTGTCTTCCAGGCAAGTGCCCTCCCCCAGAGCTACTGAGCTGAGAACAGGAGGGAGGGAGGAGGGGGAGCCAAGGAACAAGAAGAGGGGAACGTAGCGCTCAGACGAGGACTCTTGGGGACATTCAGGTCTCTCTCGCGCGTTGTGCAGATGAGGAGACTGAGGACCAGAGACAGGCAGGAGTCTACTCAGGGTCACACAGCAAGTCAAGAGCAATGCCAGGACCAGACCCAGGCCACCTCCCCGCCCGGTCCCCCGCCCCACACCCCCATTGCCCCTGGTGGCCTGTCTGGCATCCCTGAGAACGTGCTCAGAAGTCCTGGGTCCAGAGCAGGTGCGCATGCCAAGGAGGCTTACCTCGGGCCACACGCCCCACGATGAAGCTCATGGTGTAGCTGATGAGGGCCATGAGCACCCCGAGGGTCACCAGGAAGTACCAGTCTTCACCCACACGGAACAGCTTCTGCTTCAGCCATTCCAAGACCCCTGGCACAGGGGCATGGGGTCACAGCCCAGAGTCAGGTGGGGCATGGACGTCACCTTCCCTGGAGGCCTGCTCTTGCCCAGGGCAGGGAGGGCAGGGGCAGCGTGGGGCTGGGGGTCCCGTCCAGGGTAGCCTGGAGGCGGCTCTGCCTCACATGAGGGGCAGAGCAGGACTTGTGGCAGTGAAGGTGGCAGCACAGGGGCCCTTGGCAGGCCTGCCCTTCCCCCACCCCCGCTCCATGCTGGGGTACTTATGGGGGAAAGGTCAAGGCGCGGGGTGGGGGCGGGAGTACGGGGAGCTACAGCTCCCTGCGGTACCGCCACAGCTTAAAGAGCACACACATCTAGCAAGACCCCTACGTTGTCCCAGGCCCTGTGGGGCTGGCGTAGAGCCTGAGAGCACCCTCTGGGTCCCTAGGAAGGCCTTGGGCACAGTGATCAGGCCTCGGGGCTGCATTCCCAAAGAGTGGAGGGCAGGCGTTTAGCACAACTAACCCATAGACAGATGGGGACAGACAAGCAGACCCCTTCCCTCTGGGCAGTGAGGTCAGGAGCAGACAAAAGGAGGAGGCAGCTCTTGGGCTTTCAGGTGGGCGGGGAGGAGCAGCCTGGGCAGGGGGTGTCATCCTGAGGGGTCTTCGGAGCAGAGGGGAAGGGGGCCTAGCTCTCACCTCGGATGCCTTGGCGGATGCGGGGACACGGGCCCCACAGCTCCTGAAGAGTCACAGGGTTGCCTGAGGAGCCCTCATGCAGCCCTACCAGCTCCTCCATCTGGTCCCTGACGCAGCCTCAGACGGACGGACCCTGGGTGAGCTGCTCCAATGCCTTTCCGCTGCCGCTTGGCCCTTCTGGTATCGCTACTTCCCAGATCAAAAGGAAAGGAGGCGTTTTCCTGTGCGTATGTCTGTGCACATGTGAAGTTATCGGGAGGGACAGAAGTCCGACGTGCCCTGGGTGCCACCAAGGGCGTGCATGTGTGTATAATGTGTGGGACGGGGTGGGGGTTCCTAGCTGTGCCCCCGTGTCGAGCAGCAGATTGGGTCAAGGCAGGTCCCCGACCCCAGAGCGCCCTTCTGCCTCTGGTGGCCACGGCTCCTCCCCTCCCCGGACGCTAGTCGGCCTCCCCTGCACGAAGCCGTCTCCTTGCCCAGTGAAGTTCCTCTGTCACTGCGGGTCCCCACAGACTAATGTGGCTCCCCAGGCCCATCCCCAAGCCCCTTCAGGGGCAGAAAGGCCACAGAGGCAGAAAAACCCCAGGCCCATAAGGAAAGCCCCAGGAGGGGAGAAATGAGATGCCGGCTCCTTGCCCCCCGCCCTTCTGCCCCTGCCCTGCTTGACGTGGCCCTGGCGAATGCCACCCAAGTCCATCCCCAGCTCTGCACCCAGCGGCCCCTCACCTGTGTCCGTCCGCCCTGCTGTGTCCCCGGCCCACCTTCCTCTAACACAGAGTCCTTTGCTGCAGCGCAGGTGTACCTGCACAGGTGTATGCTCCGCCAATCAACAGCCTGCTCGCCCTTCCTCCCCGCACCCCGCCCGGCTGGGGTTTACTGTGGCCATTAAGAATGTCCTTGACAAACCAACCAGAACTGCCCGGGCCCACTGAGCCGTGCAGCCCAGAGCAGCCAAAAGGGGGCTGAAGCAGCGGCTCCCCCAACTCACTGGCGCCACGAAGCCCGCGCTGCAGGCTGGGGGGCCGGGGCTTTGGTGGGGACCTCATACACAGAGCAGGATGGTGTGGGGTCATCGACGGGGGCTGGGGGTCAGGACCCTGGACTTCCAGAGCTGGGCGCAGAAGGGGCTTGGAAAAGCAGAGGAGGGAGAGGGGAGGAAGCCGAGAGAGCAGGAGGAAGGGCTGGGGCAAAGCGCAGGGCGCTGTCGTTAGTACCCTTGGTAGGTTCCCCTTCCCCGCCCCCGGCCCGCCATTAGTGAGTGCTCACCGAACACAGTGAGAGGGCGACAGTTTCCCAATTTAAAGAAATGGAGTGTCTAAGACCTGAGGCTCCTGATCCCAGGTCCCAGAGGCCGGGGAGGGGCAGAGGGGGGACTCCCGCCCAGGATTCCCGGAGGCAGACAAGCTGGAGCTGGGGCGGTGCATCCCGGGGGAGGAACTCCGGCTCGATCCTGTGTCCTGCCCTTCCAGTAGCGGCAAACTGCCTCTCAAACCACAGCGCTTCTATATACATGCCCAGGCTTTGTCGCACCCAGACAGACGCAGCAGCAGTGGAGCCGGGAGCAGGTCTGACCCCGGAGCAGCTCTGCCACCCGGTGCTGGTCCTTCACCACTCAGAGCCTCGGTTTCCTCTTCTGTCCAATAAGGGGAGCCTGGGAGCTATGGGGGCAGGGGTCTACCCCCGCCTCATTCGCACCCATCCCCCCAGAGCCTGGAAGAGTGCCGGGCACATACTAGGTGTTCAATACATATCTGCTGAGTAATGAGTGGTTTCTGAACTTTACTGTGGGCTGGCTGTGTGGGGAGCTGATGAAAACAGATTCCTGGTTCCTCCATGACCTCACATTAGAATTTTGGGGTGCAGGGTAAGACTCTGTGTTTATTCAATGTTCCCTCACGTGACTGGGATGCCCTGGCAGGTTTGGGACTCAGGGCATTGGATCATCTCTGAAGCTCTTTCTATCCCTGTGGTGTGAAGGGAGAGGCATGCCTGGAGACAGGGGACTGGCCTTGGTGACCTTTCAGGGTCCCTCCCGGCCACCGAAGCCAGTAGACGCAGTGCATGTGTGGGTGATGCCCAAGGATGGGGGGAAGGGGAGGGGGAACGGTGGGCAGCGGCGGGTAACGAGATCTGACGTCCAGCAGCGGTGACTCAGGCCCTCAGCATCATGACGGTGTGTCTGCATTTAGCCACTGGCTCCTGTTCCCCCCCACCCCTTCCCCCCCCTTTCATCTCGCCCCAGGGCTGGTAACTTCCTGGCAGCCCCCTCAGCCAGGATGGGTGACAAGGGCCAGGAAGGAATCTCCATGGGAGGGACAGACCCCTCTTTCTCAGGTTACTGCTTTGGCCCAACTTCAGAGACCACGGGCACCAGTAGCGACCCCCTGTAGAAGGAGCCCCCAAGAATGAAGTTCTGTGGGAGCAGAGAAAAGAGAAAGAGTCTCTGTCTTCAGGACCTCCCGGTCGAGCAGGCACACAGGTGGAACTGCCCTTCTGATAGACGAGAGAACAGCAAAGAAATCACAGACACGGGAAGATCAAGTCACCCTGCCAGGTGCCGGGCAGGCAGAGACAGAGCCATTGGTGGCAGCCGGGAAGTGCCACCCTCCTCCCAGAACGGCCTTTCCTGGCTTCGCCCCCTACCCCGCCTGATGTCAGTTCTGGCTCTGCTGAGCTGCGGAGGAGCAGAGAGGGGTTGCCGGGGGTCTGCTGGGCCAGCCCATCTCTGTGCACACACGTTTGGGTCATCCAGCCTGCTGGAGGCAGGGCTTTGCATCAGATATGCCTGGGTTCGAATCCCAGTCCTGCTGCTTGCCCAGAGCAAGCCCGCCCTCCCTGGGAGGTTCTGTGTCCCTGTCTGTGAGGTGGGGGTGATGCTGCCTCGCCCGGCATGTGAGGGTGCTGGAAAGCTCCAGGCCAGGGACCCCGCAGAGCCCCAGCAGCCAGAGCTAGGATAATTGTCTTCCGGAATTCTCTCCCTCTCGCTGAACTCCTGCCTGGCCACCGCTGTCCCCGCAGCTCCTCCCAGCTGGAGGTCAGGCAGACAGTTCCCGGAAATATAACCCTCTAGATCTTTAAGGACAATGACCAAATTACCTGACTTGAGGCCCAACCCCCAGCCTTGCCTCAGGTTGCTGGTTTTCTTCTCTTGGGGCCCCCAAATGTTCCAGAGTGTGTGTGTGCGGGGGGAGGAATCTGGGTCCCAGGGGAAGTTGGCAGGGGGACAGCTGCACATTCTGCCCCCTTCCCTGCTGCTTCTGTCCTTCCTAAGGGCCCTGAGGGAGGAGCCCCTCACCTCACACAGGGCTCCAGCCGGTGGGGGTCTTCCACCCTCCCCTGACCTTCTGACCTGGACCTCATGCTGTCCCCAGAGCCGGGCACGTAGGCCCCTCTGCCCTGATCTCCCACCACCCAGATCTCCTCTTACCGAGGGCTGGAACTTCCGGGGGAGAGAGGGAACAGGAAATAGAAAAGCCTGGCTGCAAGGAGCTTGCAGTCTGACAGGGGAGGCAGAGTCCTTAAGAGCCCCAGGCCAATGGGAAAGACAGAGACACAGAACCCACCCCTACACACATGCATAAGGCCCTGGGCACAGAGATCTTGGTGGCAAGGGCGCAGCTCTGGCCCCCGCCCGCCCGGTGCCGAGGCCCCGGGGCTGGACTTATCGGCCTGGAATGCCAGGCTATGAGCTCAGCCTCCCGGGCCTGCGTGTGCTGGACTGTCAGCAGGGCCGTCTCACTGGAGAAGATTTCCAGCCCCCTCTGGGCCACAGCGCGGCCTAAATTTAGCCGGTAGACAAGGGGCTGGCCCAGAGCCCAGGGACAGTCGGGCCTTATAAAGCGCCGGCAGTCGGGGCCCGGCACGCTCCCCCGGAGCCTGCCGCCCACAGCCTCTCCCGTCCACCCCTGCCCGCCTGGCCAGGGCCCGGCTCCCACCCGTGGATGAGCCACAGGACCTCCTCCACCTTCAGAGCGGAGAGAAGCTTCCACTCGTCCTCCTCGTCCTCCTCGTCCTCCTCGTCCTCCTCGGCCGCCCGAGCCCTGCCAGCCCAGGACCCACCCATGGAGAAGGCCTTGAGCATGTTTTCTGAGGATTTTGGCGGCTTCATGCGGCCCCACTCGGAGCCCCTGACCTTCCCAGGCAAGTGCTCGGGGCTCTGAGGGGATGGGCGATGCACGGGCAGGGGACACCTGCTCCAGGGCACCTCTGAGAGTGGCTGCGGCTGCCCAGCCGCCAGGAGCAGGTGCTTCGTGGCTGCAGCTGCATGTGGCCACCAGGACAGATGTGGCCACAGAGACAGATGTGGCCATGAAAACCGGCAGGCCTCCAAGGAATTGCTGTGGCTGGGAGTCAGTGGCGGTGCCTGTGGCCAGGTCCTTGCTGGACTCTGGAGGGCAGCGTGGGGCTGAGGGGTGGGACGCATCCCCCACTCCGGGCGGGGTGGGGAGGGGTTGCTACAGGCAGTCTCTCTCACACACACCCCCCCGTGCCTGGGAGGCCCCCTCCCCTCCGTGGAAGAGGCAGTCTGCAAGTGGGGAGGAGAGGTGGGAACGGGGCTCAGGATCATTAGCTGAAGGGGCAGTCAGGCCTGGGGGAGGGGGGCCTCCCCTCTCCCCAGGAGAAGGAACCAGAAACCTGAGTTCTGGGTGCAAACCCACCCTGTGCTCAGCTCATGGCAGCCCTCCCTACAGCCCGTTCGGGGGGGCCGGGCAACATCAAGACTCTGGGGGATGCCTATGAGTTTGCAGTGGATGTGAGCGACTTCTCCCCTGAAGACATCATCGTCACCACGTCCAACAACCATATCGAGGTGCGAGCTGAGAAGGTGAGCCTGCCCGCCCTGTCCAGACCCCGGGTCTGCACCTGCACCCTCTGCAGTGTCCCCACCCCCATCTCCCACCCTGGGGCTCCAGACCCTACCCAGGGTCCCCCCAAGCCCCCAGAACAAATTGGAGACCTGGCGCCCGTCCCTCGTGGGCCATGGGATCCCTGTTGCTGCCTCTGTCAGCCCCAAGATCCTTTTTTCGGGAGTCGGGGCAGCGGAGAGTGCCACGGGAGAAGCGGGGGTAGAGGGATGCAGCAGGGCACCTGAGCCGTGAGGTGGGAGGAGGGAGAGAGTGGCTGAGTGAGGACACCTCTTCTGACAGGCGGGTGGGTGGGTGGGGCCTCAGCTGGCAGCTGCGGGAAGGAGCTCCCCCGCATGACACCCCTTAAGCCCTCTTCCTCCCAGGGTCCAGGGGCCCAGCCCCAATCCCGGGAGCCTTGAATTGGAGTCCCTGAACGAAGTTCAGGACCACGCACTCCAAAGCTCACTCTCCTCTGTCCACGGGTCTCAGGGTCGCTGGGTCGCCAGCATCTCCGAGCCTCAGCTCCCAGGAGGCCTGCACCCCAGAGGAGGGCGTGGCCCGGCCTGAACAGGATTGCTCCCCCCACTGGGCCACAGCCACAGGCGCCCGTTAAGGGGGAGGGTCTGCCAGGGGAGGCTTCCGCCGGGCGTCCCGTGGCCCGGCCGCCTCCCTGAGCACGGGGTGCTCGATGCCTGGGCACCCTGTCAGGGAAGCCATGGACTGTGGGCACCAGGACCAGCGGCAGCCTGTGCCAGCCCTGCCATCCCCGCCAGTGACTCAGCCGCCCCAGGCTCCTCTGGACACTATGTGCTGACCAAGTCATGGGGGAAGGGCCACCGACCCAGCCCTGACGGTGGACATCGAATGTGTCCGGGTGTCCAAAGGGGCTCGGCTCTGCCCTGTGCCACTTTCTCCTCGTTGCTCAGGAGCCCCGGGTTCTGCCACCAAGCCTCCTCTGTTTCTGGGTGTCCTCTCCAAAGCCCCTTGCCTATCCGTTGGGACCACTGGAACTCCTCTGAGCACCTCTGCACCTGTCCCTACACAGCCCTCGGCCGAGGGCCACCACTGTCCTGTCCTGGCCAGCGCCTTGCCTGGCCTCCTCCGCACCTGAGAGCAGAGCCCCTCGTCAGGCCGGGGCGGCTGGGCTTAGCCTGGGGAGGCGGGGCTGTGGCTTGAGGTGGGCAGGGCAGGGGTGGGGCGGCCTGCCCTGACCCATCGCTCTGCCCCAGCTGGCGGCTGACGGCACGGTCATGAACACCTTCGCTCACAAGTGCCAGCTGCCGGAGGACATGGACCCCACCTCGGTGACCTCGGCCCTGAGGGAGGACGGCAGCCTCACCATCCGGGCGCGGCGACACCCACACACAGAACATGTCCAGCAGACCTTCCGGACAGAGATCAAAATCTGAGGGCCCCCCTTCCCCTGCCCTCCCCCAAGCCCCACCTTCTCCCCACTGGCCCGCCAGATTTTTCCCACCCCCGCCCCCCGACAGCTTCCAGGACATCTCAGCCCAGGCTCCAGCCCTGACCCCCCAAGACCCCAGGTGGGTAGCCCTGCCCCGAAACTGAGGCCTTCGGCTCTGCCCTTGCCTGCCTGCGGCTCCAGGTTCCAGATGTGGCCTCTTTCACCGAAGCCAGAACAAAGGGATTGGGGTGGGGCAAGGAAGACCCCAGAAAGCCCACTTGGGGAAGGGAGATGAGGAGAGGCAGGATCTCTGGGCAAATAATCTGCAGGACAGACAGACAGACAGACAGATGCTTTGATCTACGGAGTCTCTGCAGGGCAGGGGCAGGGAAGGGGGCCTGGGACCCCCTTGGCCACAAGGTGAAGGGGAGGCAGAAGGAGAGGCACGGGCAGATCTCCAGGGGCACCAGGGGCCCGCGGAGGCAGCTTGATGGAAACCTCCACTCTCCTGCCTGCTAAGATCCGCACCAGCTGTCAGGCTGCCTGCGCACCGGGCACCCCCGTCCAGCCAGCTGTGGCAGCGCAGGGCACCTGGATACAGACGGGGTTTTTCCAATACAGCTGGTTCGTGATAAACTGTGTGAAACTCCTGCCACCTGCTACCTGCCCATGCCCCCAGGCGAGGCCAGGCTGAGGGGTGGGGCTGGTCCTTCTCCTGCGCCCCCACCCCCTTCCCTGCCAGGCCTGGGCTCCTGGGGCTGGCTCCGTGCAGACAATCGCCGGAGACAGAAGCGGGACGCAGAGCACGGCCTGGTCTCACAGTGAGACCAGTGGCTTGCCACCCTGCCCCTTGGCCAGTCGCCTCCCTTATCCTTTCCCCTCTTTAATCTATGAATCTACAGGCTTGGTGTGTGTATACCACACATGCATGCACACCCTACCATCCTTCAAATCCTGTTGCCATTAGTTGAGTCCAAATTCAGACCATTCTAAAGTCAGATTTCAGCCTCCATTTTTATCAATGGGGAAACGGAGTCTCTGGGCAACTGATCGCCCCACTTGCTCGCTGAAGGGTGGATGTGAACCCAGGGAGTCAGAAGCTGCTCTCAGACTGCCCGCCACCCCTCCGTGCACTGGGAAGTCGCTCCCCTCTCTCTGCCTCTCTTGCTCTGTGGCCCCTTCCCCACATCTTCCTGCCGGAGACTGCCCCCAACCCAGCTCCCTCCTGGTCCCCAGGCCCAGGCAGGACCTCCAGTCAGCCTTCATTTGGGGTCGCCGGGGCTGCCCCAGTGACCCTGGCTGTCTCCACATATGAAAGCCGGGGTAAGGTGGGGGATGGTTCACAGTTAGTCGCGGGTGGGGGTGGGGAGGAGGGCCCTGGGGCAAGTGGCAGAGCCAGCCTCTGCTCTCTGGGCCTCTTGGGTCAGTGTCCTGTAGGGTGGCTCTCACCCCGGCCATAATGGGGCCCTTAGGGGATGTTTGGGTGGGAGGGCATGGAGGGTCCTGGCATTGTACCCTGCACACATAATAAATGACAGAATCACAGACTTCTGGAGGTCCTGCCTGAAATTCTCAAACTTGGGGTGGGATTGGAGGCAGCTGGGGTACGAAACACCAGGATAAACAGACATGCTCCCTTGAGATTTGGGGGTGGGGGTGCTAACTCAGACAAAGCTCAAGACCTTACAGAAATGCAGGGGTCCTTTGGCCTCTTCCCTTGGCTCCCAGAACCACGTGGGCAGGACTCGGAATGATTTCCCTGAAGACTTGCAGTGCCTTCTTTTCCAACTGCCAGCCGGCATCAGCCACTATGGCCAGGCACTGTCCCAGGTACAGGGACACCAAAGGTGGGTCAGCTGCACTGAGTCCCTGCCTTCCTGAAGCCTGTCTTGCACCAGATGGCAGCTGAGGATCAGAGAGGCTGAGCGATTGGTCCAGGGTCACACAGCTCCTGGGGGAGAGCCGGACTGGAACCTGGTTTGGGTGTTGGCTGGTTCAGGGAGCCTGGGTGCTCTCGGGAGGGACTCCCACGCACCCCACACACCACCAGGCGCTACTGAAATCAGCACCAGGCCAGCTTGAGCTGCAAGCAGCAGGAGGGGAGGGAGAGTGGGCACGGTATTTCCAGCCTCTGTGACTCACTGATTCCACTGTGCTATTTGCAGCCCCAACACTCATCAGTCTGGGGTTTGGGGGAGGAGCCGGACCAGCTCCCCCCATTCCTTGACTCCCACCCATGGGGTCAGTCTCACCTTGGCCTCCAGGACCCAGCAAAGTCCCACCCTGGGCCGGGCTGGGGTGAGCTGGGCTGCTGGCAGCCCAGGCTGGGAAAGGGGTCAGCTCCCCACGTGGCCAATGGGGCGGAATACTTTCCACCCCCAGCCCCCAGACCCCAGCAGCCTGCTCCCCAGATTGAGGTTGGGGGGGATGAGGGTTGCACAGAGGACAGAGCAGCTGCTGGAGACTGGACTCATCCAGACTGTGGGAGCCCTTCGCCAAGGTGACCCTGCGGAAAAGGAAGGCGGGGAGGAAAAGACCAGCAGGCTGTCTCTCATCGGCTCCGCCCCCTGGGCGCCTGGACTGGCGGCAACGCTTTGTCTCCCAGGGCCCCCCACCCTTTCCATGCTAAATATAGGCCTGGCTGGACGCCCTGCACCCCGCCCCACACCCCATGAAGAGTAATTATAGCAGCTCCATTCATTGAGAGCCCAGAGTGTGCCAAGCACACTGCTCATCCCCACAACAGTCCTGCAAGGTGGGTACCAAGGAGGACAGGCAGGTTCACAGAGGTCAAGCACCAAACCCAAGGTGACCCGGCTTGGAAGGGGCATGGCTGGGATTTGAATCCTTGGCTGTGGCTCTAGGAAGCCTTCTGCAGGGTCAGCCCCAATCAGCACCCCACACTGAAACCGGAAAAGCCGGCGTCCATGCTTCCTGTCACCCACCAGACCCCATAAGCAGAGACAGGGACTGGATCTTTATGGGCACTTTACTCAGATGGCCGGTGATCTGAGAAGACAGTGGGTCTGTACCAACAGACCGTCTTAAATTCTATTTTAAACCGACTCCCTTTGTAAGGAGAAGAAAAGTGTACGTAAGGGGTTTGGGATTCAGGGAAAAAGTATATCAGATAAAAATCTGCCGCATTCTTTCATCTGAGTCCTGGGTGGTGGTCTTTATCAGTGCCCCCGGCACCACCTTGGAGTACAACAGCTCAGATACCACCTTGATGGCCTGCAGTTCTCCAGAGGCACAAAAGTGGAACTGCTTGTGGTCTCCTGGAGTCAGGGTGGGTCCTATCCTCAGTTCCTGGAACAATAACTTTTTACATACATTGATTACTAAGCTACTTAGCTATTACCTGGAGCTAAAATGTTTCCAACACTTGAGTCCCCCATCAGCACCACAAGGGGTCCTACCAAGGCATCTCAGAGGCACCCCCACCCCCAGCCCCCCACAGACATCCTGTACAGGAAAGCAGACTCGCACTTCTTACAGCTTTTGGAATGGGCTTGGGCAGGAGGCAGCGGAAGCTGAAAATCTGGTTCCCTGAAGGCCTAGAGACCTGTGAGAAGGTCCAGGCCAGGTGGTGTCAGAGACCCTGAGGGGTGCGGAGGACCTAAGCGGTTCCCTCACTTTTCGAGACCTTGCTCAGGCCAAAAGCCTCCTCCTCCGGAAAGCCTTCCAGAGCTGCCAGCTCAAAGTCACAGACAGAGTCCAAAGAACCCTAGACCCATACTTTGTCTTCCACAGAAACTCAGACTCAGATAAAAACAGCACATCGATGCGGGGGGCTGGGGGGTGGGGGCGGGCAGACCCTTGGTTGGCCAGCCCTGTCCTCTTGGGGAGTCAGCAAACTCCTTATGGGAGACCAAGGCCCAGGGATGGGGAGGGCCTTGCCTAGGGTCATACAGCAAGTCAGCGGCAGAGACAGAGTGGAGACCCAGACCTCTGGGACCCCAGGCCAGGGCTTCTCTGCCACATCAACTCACCTGTCCCCGTGGCCACCCTTCCCTGGCCCAGAGGCAAGCCCGGCCACCCACTCCGCACTCCCCAGCTCCCCTCTGCATTCACCCTCCCCCATGGGCCTTGCATCCCAGTTCTGCAATAGCAGAAGAATAAGGCCTTATCTGCCCTCTGGCTCCTATGCCTGGCATGGGAAAGGAGCTAAGTAGATATTTGTAGGATTTTTTTTATAAAAAGCTAACAAGCCCTGGCTGGTGTGGCTCAGTGGACTGAGTGCTGGCCTGTGAACCGAAAGGTCGCCTGTGTTGCCATCCAGGTCCCCAGTTGGGGGCGTGCGAGAAGCAACCGGTTGAATGTATCTTTTGCACATCGGTGCTTCTCTCCCTCTCTCCCTCCCTTCTCCTCTCTCTGAAAATAAATAAAATCTTTTAAAAAATAAAATAAAAATAAAAAGCTAACAAGCCTCAGCAAAGAGTGGAGGGTCAGTTGTAAAGTCTGCAGCCGCACCACCTGGGTTCACATCTTGGCTCTGCTGCTTCTGAGCTGCAGGATCGTGAGCAAACACCTTCACTTCTCCGTGCCACGGTAGAGTGGCACTAATAAGGTCTACCTGCTAGCGTCGTTCTGTAATGCATTTGAAAGCCTTGGCACTCGGTGGTGACGTGGAGCGCGTGCGCCCTGCACTGAATGCCCAGCGCGCATCATACAGATTTGGATCTGATGTCCCCTGCTTCACCCATGCTCTCCCTGGGGCCGTCAGGACCAAGACATGGGCAGGGGTGGGGGGGTCAGAGGAGCTGCTCTGGTATCTGGGGTCTTCTCTCCAGGAAAAGGAGGTGAGAGAGGAGCTAAAAGGTTCCCTGGACTTCCAGAGGAGCCTGCCCGGGCCCCAGGGGTGGGGGTGGGAAAGGAAGCCTCTGGAAGCCTTAGTTCCCTCACCCGTAAACAAAGACCAGGGAGCACTCTCCCGGGGCAGCTGCGAGGAACCAGGGAGAGATGATGTTTTAGTATAAGCTCAATAAGTGCTAAGCTTTTGTTAAAATTGTTGTTTTCTGAACACGGAAAACCAAGGTTCCACCCACCCTGGCTCTGCCCTCAAACAAGAGAGGGTCCCCAAGGGCTTAGCGACTGGAGTCAGCTGGATGGGCCACCAAGGCAGGAGTCTCTGGGCAGGGGAGAGGGGTTGTTTACAGTCAGCACAGCTGGCCTGGTGCTCACTGCAGGCGGCCAGCCCGGCCAGCGCCCTCAGAGCCTGGCCCCAGGGACCACCCTCCAGGGAGACCTGGGGGCTGCTGGACTGGGCGGGTGACCTCTGGCTGCCACTCTGAGGGGCACAAAGCAGGGCTGCTGACCCCACACAATTCTTTTTTTTTTTTTTTAAGACAGTATTCATGGAGATAGCAGGCAGTTTTTTCTTTCTTTTTATTGATTTCAGGAAAGGGGAAGGGAGGGAGAAAGGGAGGAAGAGAAACATCGATCGATTGGTTGTCCCTTGCACAAGCCCTGACTGGGGACCCAGCATGTGCCCTGACCAAGAATCAAACCCATGACCTTTTGGTTTGAGGGACAAGGTCCAACCCACTGAGCTACACCGGTTGGGGCACCCCACACACGTCTTGAGCACCTACTACCAGGCACTTTAAGGCACTGGGGAGTGCTAACTTAAAATTAAAAAGCCCTTTCAACGTGAGAGGCAACAGGCATTTATTTGAAATCAGTAAGAATAGCTCTTCAGGAAGCATTGATTCAGGCAGAAACCCAGGTAACATTCTGATTAAGAAACCAAGTCAAGGGTTTTCTTATGAGAAAAGGAAGAACAATTACATCAATAGAAGGAAGGCATTTCTATAGGTGCAGATAACAGTGATGTTAACTCTAAAGTACGTTTGTAATTTTCAGCCTGGTAGTAAGAATACCCGCTTTCTTGTTGTCTGCAAACAGTTCTTTGGGGCAGGAGGTTGCTTTGGACCCGGTCCAAAGGTTGTTTTGACCCATTTTAACATCCAAAGGCTTGAGGCATGAAAACGTGCAAGACAGTTCCTCTGTGGGGGCATCTCTGACTCCATTTTAAAATGGCTTCTTTTTATTTTGTTTTGTTTTGTTTATTTTTGACAGGACACAGTCCTGAGTTAAATATGGCTGCCAACCTAGGGACACTAGCACTTAATTGCATTTTCACTCACTGGTTCAACAAAGTCTATCATTTAGTGATCGATTCATTCCTTCAACAGGTTTTCGGCAAGTCTGTATAGCACAGTTGGTTGTTAAAGCTCCGAGGTCAAACTACTTCCACGTCCACCCTGGCTCTGCTACGTACGAGCTCTGTGACCTTGGGCCAGTGGCTTAGCCTACCAGAGACTCAGTTTCCTCACCTGAGAAGTTGGGATAGGGCCTCACAGGCTTGTGGTGAAGAGACGGGGCTGTTCTCCTCTACCTGTGCCCTATCTCGTGAGGGCCCCATTCCCCTGTTCAGTCCCCTAGACACTCCCTGTTCGTGATCAGGCCCTAGGCTGGGTCCTTGGAAAATGTCCATTCTTCCTCCATTCTCTCACTCAACCAATGGGAACGGAGCGCCTACGACACAGCGCGGGGTTACGGTGTCATGGCTCCAGGAGTGCAGTCACATGGCCTGGGGTTTGGGTTTGCACTCTGCCTTTTTCTAGTTGGTGACCTGGGGCAAATCAGTTCTTCCCTCTGTGCCTCAGTTTTCTCATCTGTAAAATGGCAGTAAGAGTTGTACCCACCTGACAGGTATGGTGTGAAAGGAATTGAAGTGGCATGTGATGCACATAAAAATATCAATAGTCATTATTCTGAATGAAAGGGGTGTTCGTTAAAATGAAAGTTTGGCTTCTGAAAATAGAGACTTCACTGAGCCGCTGGTCCCAGGGCTCTGGCTCCATGCCCTGCAGGTTCCCACCTTCTCCACTCAGACCGGGGTGCCCTCCAGTCCGGTGATAGGGCGACACCTGCTGGTGAAAAGTTAGATGTGCCGCTACAGGCCTTACACTTTTCCTTGAGGGTCTCAAACTCCCTCTGCCTGTTGTCTTTGGACTCTTCAAACCCAGTGATTCTTAACGAGGAGAGGAGAGAGGAAGGGACTTAACGTCATCCGGATTATTCTGTCACCACCTCTCTAGTTCAAATCGTCCCCCCACCCCCCCTTTTGAATTAAGGTGCAGCTTCCTAGGCCTCTGGTCCCAGCACACAAGCTAAAAGAAAATTTTTAAAAGGTACATCTGGTCATGTCACTCTCAGCTCCCAATTTCCAATGGTCCTCATCTCAGAATAAAACCTAAAGACCCCAGCATGGCCTGCAAGGCCTCACACAGTGTGGTCCCTGCCATTTCTCTGGCCTCTCTGCTTGTTCCTTGTGTGTGCTTTGCTAAAGAATAAGCACCTTCATTGTGGGGTCCCATTCCACCATCTAGCCCAGAGTCTGGCACACAGTGTGTGCCAAATAAATACTTGGTGAATAAATGAATGAATACTATAGCCAGACTGAATGACTCTGGTCCTTCTTTCTGGAACACTCCCCACCTCCGCCTCCTTGCCTTTGTATAGTTCACTCACAGTTCAGATCTTAGCTTAGATGTCACTTCCTACAGGAAGTCCTCCCTGATTTCCTCTCCCAGAGTGGGCTGGGCACCCTCCTCCAGCCCCAACAGCATTCTGTGTGCTCTTATTCTTGCACCAATCAATAGTCACCTTTCTTGCCTTCCCCACCAGGCTGTGAGGTCCTTGAGGACAGGGCTACATCTGTTCTTTCTGAATCCCCTCTGCCTAAAAGTAACCTTACAAGGATAAGAGGCCATTGGCCCTAGGGTTAGGAGACAGAACTTGAGTTCCAGGCTTGCCTAGGTTCTTAATCCTAACTGTACCAGTCCATGGGGGCTTGAGCAGGTCCCTCAACCTCTATGTCCCCCAGTTCCCTAATCTGTGGAATGGGCACAAAAACAGCACATCCCCATACTGGGCAGGGAGGATGTTGTTTTTCTGGCACAGAGCAAATGGTCCATGCATGTTAGCTACTAAAGTCTGCAGGAACCCAGAAAAAAACAGGCATTGAATAAATAAATGAATGATCGGTAATTTTAACCTGAGAACCTTGAGGTACTTCCTCAGATGGTTGATCTAGCATTTTGCACAGCGCCATGTATCTCTTAGACCTGCGCACACTCTCATACACACTCCCGTGACCACACTTGCTGCTGGGGAACACGGCTTCCCTGTGGAGCAGGACCCTCCCCTACCCCCCACCTTTTTCTGCATCTCTAGGGGGTAGCATGAGTCTGGTATGCAACAGAAGCTCAGAGTGTACTCTCTCTTATGTTATTGTTCAAATATGATACTCCATTCCCTTTGGCGCACTTTTGCCCCCTCGAGAGGCCAGTTCTCTTTATTTATTCTCAGGTTGCCAGGTCCCACCTAAGTTCTTGAATTTCCCCGTTCTGGGTCTCATGCCCTTTGGTGACCTACACACGTGTGCATGAGCCAAGAGGGCAGCAGCCGACGTGCTGCTCCTGCCTGTCGTGCTGGGCGCCCTGACCCCGCTCGGGTCCGCTCTGCCCCATGGCCCTGGGAGGGCGGTTCCCAGAGCTTGGCTCCTTCTCACCTGTTAGATCACACTTTAAGCTCACCCAGAGAGGCCTTCCCCGACCAGGGTATCAGAAAAGCTCTTCGCCCCAATCCCTTTCGACCCCGGGACCCTGCCTCAGTTTCCACACAGGGCTCATTTAGTCACTGTTCAAAATCATCTTTATTTCTTTGGTTGTTTAACCCTCTTCCCGCCTCTCCCCCACTCCCAGGATATAAGCTCCAAGAAAGTTGTGGTGGTTCCCTGGCATTTTGCAGATCCTGGCAAAGAGGCAGTGGGCCCTGGGAAGGGCAGCGCCCAGACACTTGAGCCTGGGGTGCCAACGCCCTCCTCCCATGGTCAGGCTCTTCCAGTTAATCTGCCTGCCCACAGACACAGGAGGAGGCTTTGAACAAGTTCACGACTGTTCCCCAAGCCGAAGACCTTGTGGGCACCGTCTTCGAGGGGCTCCCCTTGGCTTCAGGAGGCTCCTGGGACCACAGCGGGCTGCCTGGGGAGAAAGCTGGGGCTGCAGTCCCTCTGCAGGGTAGCAAGGTGTCCCCCAGCCAAGGTGGCCTCCTGAAGCAGATGGGGCTGGCTGTCCCCACAGAACACGATGTAGGTCTTCATTGGAGAGGTGGCGGGGCCTGGGTTGGGACCGAGGGCTCGCGGCGGCACCAGGGGGCGGCCCGCGAGAGCTGTTTCCCACGGGCGGGCGCAGTCGATAATGAACGTTAGGGGAGCTGCAGGGGTGGTCCTCAGGTGGTGGGCTGGCTTCCCATCTAGAAGGAAGGGAAAGACCAAAGAAAGATTCGTCTTAGCACAACAAGGGATGTGGTTCTATTAATTCATTTGTTGATTCACTTTCTCATTCATTCCACAAGATTTCACCTGTGTGTAGTGTGACTCACAGAGATGGAAACAGCGGGGTCAAAGAGCACGGACTTCAACACCTGAGAGGCCCGACCTTAGGTCCTGCTTCCCGCCGATCCGCCACCTGCCTCCCAGGAGCACAGTCCCATGGCTCAAGGCTTCTCGTCTTTACTGTGCACACAGATGGCCCAGGCATCTTGTCAACGTGCAGGTTCTGGCAGAGCGGGCCCGAAGCATTTCCAACAAGCCCCCACGGCGTGCCAGCGCTGCTAGTCCGTGGGCCGCGCCGTGAGCAGCGAGGTCCTCAAACAAGAGAAAAGCCCCAGCCCCCTTTAACAGATTACGAAACTGAGGCTCAGCTTGAGCAGGTATGAGGGTCCCCAGGGAGCTCCATGCTGCTCTCCCCCTCCCCACATGACACCAGAACCTCAGAGAACACCATCGGTGCCCCAGTCCCCTCTGCCCTGGGGGTCCCCGCTCTGGCCTCCCCACCCAGCTCAGAGCCCAGTTCGGAGAGAAGAGCCCATCGGTCTATTTATCAATGAAGCAAGTGCCAGAGCGGGTCTCTCTGAAGCTAAAGCTGGTGCTCTTAAAAAAGTTACTTTCGAGTGCCCCAAATAATAAAACATCTATTCTCTTAACTACGTGCTCTTTGCCAAAACAGAGGCTGGAGAGGAAGCTCATGTTCTGTTAGACTGGTTAATACAAGAAATAAAAGCGACGTCCTCCCCTGGCTTGAGAACCCTGGCAGCCGCCGGGGAGGGTGGCTGCCCTCTCTCTGCTCCTCGCCTCCCGCTGCTCTCTGCAGGCCCTCTCTCCGGGCTGAGACATCCTCGGGCACCTCTTACCTGCACTGGTATCCAGATCTGCCTCAAGGCCCATGAGTTTGGGGCTGGCACTCTGGTCCCTGAGGTCTTCTGATGAGGCCGTGGCTGCTGCCACCGCACCTGGTTGAGCCTGGTGGAGCATTGGTGGAGGAGCGGTTTTCGGCAGCCTCTTCCAGAATGTAGTTCCCCAGCCAAGGACCAGACCTTTCGTATTTCCGGGATACCCACCTGCAGACTGCCTACCCCCGGGGGCCCCAGGAACTGGTCTGGGGCAATTAGGGGATTACTTTGATCCACAAGGTTATGCCAACAAGATTGTTGTTGGGCCTTTGGGAGGCAGGCCTTCTACCACACACACACCATCTCTTCCAACTTCAGCTGCTTCCTGACCTTGCACAGGCTTGGGGCCTTCTCATCCAGGCCTCAGTTTCCCAAACCTCAGTCATCATCTGGCTGCGCCACCAGTTCCATTTTGTTACATTTTTTTTTCCTACCTAAGACTTTATGGAATACAACTTAAGTAACGTGCGCTTTTTCTGGGGACCTAAACAATAAACATTTATTGCCCATAGTTCTGGACGTTGGAAAGTCCCGGATCAAGGCGTCTGTAGGTTTGGCTTTTGGTGAAGACCTGCTCACTGGTTCAGAAATAGCTGTCTTTTTATTCTGGGACAAGGAAGCCCTCTGGGGTCTCTTTTGTAATGGCTCCCCCCTCATAACCTAATCACTGCCCCAAGATCCCCACTACTACCACGTGCTACTACCATCACACTGGGGGTCAGGTTTCAAAATGTGAATTTGGGGAGGACGCAGTGTATAGCATCCCTTAAGTCAAATTGACTGGTTTTACTGAAAAAGAAAAACATTTTTAAAAGAAAATTGATACTGCTTCATTAAATGGAAACAGTATCACTACTATGACTAAGGAGTAACTATGTGTGGTAAAAGAACAGTCCCTAAAGATTTCCGCGCCCTGACCTCCAGAACTTGTGAATATGTCACCGTACATAGCAGAAGGGGCTTTGCAGGGGCGATTAAGGGTATTTTGACTCTGGCACCAATTCCCAGGTTTTTTTTTTTTTTTAATTCAACTAAGTAATTAACTGGGTTCAGACAATATCTACCTGGAGACAGTACCTTGACACAGTGTCAGATCCCACAGGTTAAGTCCTATAGGACTGCTACCCGACCCCGTAGATGCCAATGGCAAGTCCAGGTTGTCATCGCGCTTCTATAGACAGAAGGGTCCCACAACCCCATCCTTGGGTTTGATTAATTTGCTAGAGCAGTTCTCAGAATCCCGAGAAATATTTTACTTATTCGATCACCCCGTGTATTATTAAAGGTGAAGAATGAGTGAAGAAAACAAGATGAAGTCAGTATAGCTAAACTGACTGAAAATGGACTCTGTATGGTCAAGTTCACAAAACTGGTTTAGACCACATGGGCTGAAGCATGAGGAATAGATTGAATTTTACTTTCATGAGCCTGAGGGCTGAAACTTTTGAACTTTTCAGCTGTGCATCAATGCCTGGAGATATATATAAATCCTACAGATAACCCTCTGAAGAACCCAGGAAAGAATGTTCTCCTGTCCACACCACCAGACATCCATGTCAATGTAAGAAACATCCGAACCTGTAGAGAATTTTTATAAAAGTTTATTTGAGCCAAACTGACAACATATGCTGGCGAGCAAGATCTCAAATGCTCCTGAGAAGAACAGTTTTGCATCTTCATATAAATATTGGAAATGAAGAAGGGAATGTAAGAACATGAAGATGGGAGAGAGCAAGGTGGGGATTGGATTACAGGATAGTTAACAAGATTATGGGCTCTCTTAAGGGTGTTTAGGGTTTATTTCAAAGGTGTGTTAACCCGGGTGTACAGAAACAATGCACAGGGCTTGCTTAACGCAAGATAAACCTTTTACTGGAAAGTTGTAGGCCCGGGGCATGACCACCACCACGACCTGTCCAGTTAGAAATTTGCGATCAGATCACCCTGTGACGTTACTTTCCATAGAACCCTTTTTTCATCCACATCCATCATCCAGACCACAGACATCTGGAAGATTTCTGTCTCAGACCAATCCAGAGGCTAAGAATGCAGAGCTGGTTCTTCTCAAGAATGTACCTTTTATTATATGAACTCTTAGCTTTTCTCTCTTCTCTGGGACACTCTGGATATTGCCTAGCGGTGTTTCCTAATTGCAAATCCCTTGAATAAGTTTCTGTTACTCATTCCTAGCCAGAGCCACCTGACTCCGTCTGACAAAGGCTATAACTCAGAACCAGCCAGATGGAAGAGATGCATAGGACAAGGTACGTGGGAGGTGACAAGGAGCTTCCATGCTCTCTGAGTGTACCCTCTCCCTGAACCTCCACATAGTCACCAGCCTGGATACTCTCAGAACCCTGTTCTTTTGGGTTTTCATGAAGGCTTCATTACAGAGGCATGGTTGATTAAAGTTATTGGCACTGGGGATTGAACTCAATCGCCAGCTCTTGATTTTGGCCCAGTGAGACCCTTCCATGTTGGACTTCTGACCAACTAATAATAAGTTTGTGTCACTTTAAAACTCTAGATTATGGTAATTTGTTACAACAGTAATAGAAAATTGATACAGATCTGTCTCTCTCATATATGTAAGTCACCTCTATGCAGACTGTGTGCTCCGTTCCTGGGGCATTTTGGGATCAGACTCTCCTTATAGACCTGGGGACAAATGGGGGGTGGTGAGTGGCCTCTTAGCAGAATTAGCACCCCCTTATAACTTTCTAAGATGAGGTCATTTACATGCTCTCTGAGGAAAGCAGGATCAGCCTCATTTGGTGGGAGGAGGGGCTGCTTTCCTTGCTCATGACACTAGTGGCAAGAGTGTTGTTAAAATTAAGGATCACGGAAAATACACAGTATCAGAAGTGAAGAAAGGAGGAAAGCCCACGAACTGTGGGAAAGTAGAGAAGTCAGTGGCCTGAAGGTGCTGAAAGCTGGAAAGAGGCAGCAGCGGGACTGTTCGAGTCTGCAGATTTTTTTTTTTTTTTTTTTTTCCCTAGGCACCATCATTCACAACCAGGCTAATCCTGGATATGCACTAAACAGGGATGGGGGTAAGGGTTGGCTCGCAAGACAGAAAAACATAATCCGGGATCCGCAGCTTTGGAACCACAGCTAAATTCACACCTTTGCTCCACCACTTGTAAAATGTGTGAGAACCGGCAATTTACTCTTTCTGGGTCTTAGTTTTTCTTTCTCCGAAAGGGGGTGACTGATACTATTTTAAGGTTGGTGAGATTTAATGAGATAACACAGTGCCTGGCACAGTAAGCACTGAACCCGTAAAAGCTGTTACTGACCTATCGGGAGTAGAAAGGTTACAATGACGACAATTCTGCCCTGGCTGGTGACCGCCCGCCTGCAAATGTGAGGTCGCAGGTTCTATTCCCCGTCAGGGCAAAAGCCTGGGTTGCAGTCCAGGTCCCCAGCTGCGGGGTGTGTGCGAGGCAACCTGGTTCTCTCGCACGAGCTTCTCTCCTTCTCCTCCTTCCTTTCCCCTCTCTCTAGAAACAAGTAATAATAATTTAAAAAAAAAATCTAAGTGCAGAAGTTAATGTAGAACTTCTGGGTAGCTAGGCGCATGCGCCTGTCCCTGGCCCTCGCCTAGCGCGGGCGCTGCGCATGCGGCGGAAGTTGCAGCCGGGAAACCAGCGAGGTCGGTTCCGCCCGACTCTAACATGGCGGCGCCCTTTGTCTGCTCTGAAGTGCCGTCCCCGGCCTCCTCGCGGCCGTGATGCACCTCTTTCAGCGGTGGGGTCCGGGACATGGCAGGTGAGGGTCAGCAAGCGCCCGGGGCCGGGAGAGTCCCGGGATCCGGGCGGAGGCGGCGGAGGATGGGGCGCGGCGATTTGCCGGGACGGTTGTGTGGGGGAGGGGAGGGAAATGTAATGGGAAGGGAACCCGGACTGCGGGGACCCCGCGGGGCAGGAGGTTGAGGGGCGGCCGGGCGGGGTGCGCCGCTCGGGGAGCGGGCGGGGAGTGAGGGGGAAGTGAGTCGGAGAACTGGCAGGCTTGGTAGTGGAGCGGCAAGGGACCGCGAGTCGCCTCCCGGGCTGGGTGACACCCCAGCTGGTAGCATCTCCGCCCCCGCCGCCCGGCTGTCACCGCCCCTTGACCCCGCGCGCTGCAGCGGGTGGGCGTTCTGTGGCCGCGCCGCGAGCCGGCGGGCTGCCGGGGCAGCTCACATGCGCTGGCCCGGGCAGAGGGCACAGGCCTGCCAGGGCCTAGGAGGTTCTGGCAAAGTAGGAGGCCGCCACTGCCCCTGTATACAACCCCATGCATACGTCTATCCATCCATCCATTCATTCCACAGACGGTGATTCAGCACCTCATGGGTTCTGAGGGTAGAGCGAATGATCCAAAACTGGCATAGTGGTGAAGTCAACCGTGGAGCCAGGCAGCTTGGCTTCCGTCTCTGGGCCCGCTCACTGTGTCCTTAAGCACGTTAGGTTCTTCCTCTCAGCGATGAGTTAAGACCAAGGGAGTAGGCAGGCTGTGGTTTGGTCCTTGGGGCGCCTTTTAAATCTAGTCCTGGAGTTTAAATTTTAGGTTAACGGGATGTCATTTAAGATTTGTGGATTAGAAAGATCACTCTGGCTAGATGAGAAATGTATTAAAGGGGGTGACTCTGGAGGAGGCCAATTAAGAATCTGCTAGAATATTTAAAGTGAGAAATGAGGATGGCCACGGCAGACCAAAAATGATCCAATTTAGCATTTATCGAGCAGTTACCATGTGCCAGGCTCTGTGCTCAGTGCTCTGCATTTGCCTGTGTTTGATGGATGAATGAAAAGGCAGCTCTTAAGGTAGCAGGTACTCTTTGCGTTCTCATCACATTTTCCATTTGGGTGTCTTTGATTCAGGTAATGAGTGGGAGGAGGAGAGTCAAGCTGGAGTTTACCCAGATAAACTGTCAGAAAAGAGTAGTCTGGGGTACTTGGCAATCCGAGGTATGTCTGTAACACCCAAGGATGAAACAAACCAGAAGGTCAGTTTGTTTGTCCTTCTCAAAGCTCAGTGTGAGTCAAATCATCCTTTCAAGATAGCTTTTTCTTTAAAATTATACAGACGACAAAATCGTAG